TTCCCGCTTTGCTTTGAATAGGAATTATTTTCTGGCAATGTAGGTATTATAAAATTTATGAAGTGCATTTTTAATGAATTTAAAGCTAAAATTTTATAGCTAAGAAGTAATTATTATCATAAAAATAATATAAACACTGTTTAATATATCGACAGCATGTAAGAAAAACCTCCATTTGTTTTCTTTAACCACATGAACTTCAGTTTCTGAGCTATATTATCTCACAGAGATTTGAGAGTGCATCTGTTTATTTAACCAATAACTGATTATGGATTGTACTACTATTAGTTATTAAACTCTTATTTTTCGCATTGTAAAGTTTACTGAATGGAGTTACGAGATTATCATTGCTTACTATCGATAGAGCAAAGTTGTCACACTAATTATAAGTGAATAATATTGTTATTTCACAAAAGGGAGAATTCACCAAATTGTTCACTAATTTAATTTCCTAAAATGTTATATGATGAACTTTCGGAATAAATCAAAGATAGACACCTAATTATTTAAATATAACATCTAACCTAGAGTTAATAAAGTACAGTAAATGTATTTAAGGTTATTAACATAATTTCGTAAATCTATAAAATATTTGTTACTTCTTTCACACAAGTACAATGAAATTTTTTTTAACAATGTTGTTGCCTTTAATTGGGAATGAATGGGAAATATAAAATTAAAAAAAAACTATAGTCAGGTTTGCGTCGAGTACAGCAAAATATAAAATTTACGATAATTATATTTAAAATGCAATTGAGACAGAATGGAACAAAATAGCTCTAAACATTACAAAAAAATAAAAATAAATAAAATGCCTCGAAGACTTTAATTGTTCCTATCTTTGTTGCTTCTGTTTCCTTATTCAGTTTTTTACATTTATTTTTTGTAATCTGTTATTGATGGATATGTACCTGAAATATGAAGTAATTACCAAATATACCTAAAATATACTTAAACATTAGATATGTTCACTTATTAAAAGGGTCTGAGTTAATTTTAACTATTTCATAACGTGCTATGGGTTGTTATGGCTCAAACAACCCCTCATCTACACACATATATTTCAACAACGAACAACATTATTATTTAGTATATTTTTACTTTCCTATCTATATTAGGTAAGGAAAGTGTTGCGATAGGGTCAAACTATGCGATCAAACTTCCGATATGCGGTTTTCGACGGATCTATACGTTTCAGATTCCTTTGAGTTCGAAAAATACATTTTAACCATTGGTCTGTCTGTACCGAAATTTTCTCGGGGATTAATGAACCGATTTTGTTGCTTCTTTTTTGGTTTGTAGGGTTTTGAATATTGACGCCTGGGACAAAAATTGGGTGCTCCATGCGTAATAGTTGCTGCGCAATAAATAAAAACATGTTTTTCTATCGACTGTAGCGCGAAAACGGCTCTAACGATTTTGATGAAACTTTCCTATAATGTTCTAATAATTGTCTTTTCAATTTTCGTACATGGACTAAATTCCCGAGAAAATTTATAAAGAAAGTTATAAAGAAAAGAAAAATGTTTTGGTACCTAACTTGCCAAATCTATATCCTACAGTAAAATTTATAATGTTACTTATGAAAGGTAATTAAATTACCAACAAAAAAAAAACATCATCGGAATCGAATCAGTATTAGCGATGATACAGCTTATTCTACACATGTTTTAATTTATTACTTTCCTACCTATACTAAGTAAGGGAAGTATTGCTATCGGTTCGAGTTTCCGATATGAGGTTTTCGACGGATCTGTACGTTTCAGAGCACTCTGAGTTCGAAAAACACATTTTAGCCATTGGTCTATCTGTCTGTGCTAAGATTTCCTGGAGCCAAGGCCCAAAATCGACCTCATCGCAGACACACGTGTGATTGTAAATTACGAAAGTGTGTGTTATTCTGAGAAAAAAGAACCTTGTTTCCTGTTCAAGGGCCACTGCTTTCAAAAATGGCGGCTGATTTAAAGAATATTAGGCCAGTAATTTGAGGATCGAAACGGGAAATCCAGGGAGAAAAATGGAACGGCAGACAAGGTTCTTTTTACTCACAATAACATAAAATTTCGTAATTTACAATCAAATCTTCGCGATGAGGTCGATTTTTGGGCTCTGGCACCAGGACTATATGTATATGATAGTTTTATTGTGACAAAAGAAAAAATACTCAGTTTGAACCTGAATAAATTTGCGCCACTTTATATCATGATAATAAACTGGTGGGATTGTTGGAAAACGAGATGATACACAGCTGGGTTCCTCCGGTGTGCTGGCACAATAACCATTTCTGAATAACTTCACTCCAGTTCCAGGACTGGCGGCTGGAAGAGGAGGGGCGGAAGGGGGTTCCGGCGGCCGGGGGAATTCCGCAGGTGGGGCAACCCGGAACCAGTTCTCATGACCTGTGGTCTTCCTCCAATTAGGGTGACCTCACTCACCAACAATCCAACAGAAAAACATATGTTTTGTTTTTTCATCGCTTCAGGAGGTCTAGCGAAGGTCCAGAAATCCCATTTTCCGGCTGTCAGACATCAGCATCACTGGCAGACATCCAGACTGTTTTAAAGTCGGCTTAGTGAGAATTTCTTCTTGTGAAAATTAATACTTGACCATTAAAAAAATCGGGGATTCCCTATGACTGCATGCTTTGTTGATATATTCAAGAATAGGAGTATAAATCTGAAAGATTTATGCGCTGCCGATAGAACTGACATGAAACAGTGAATCACAAAATAATATTCTAGTATTTTACTTGAGCTTAAAAAAAAAAACTTCTATGAATCATACTTATTGTTATGGTTGGCGGATTTACTTCTGTAATAACTTAAGTTAGTAAAATGATAAACGCTTTGGTTACCTTAATTACAGAAAAACACATCTTTATTTTCGTCGTTGAATATCCTATTAACTATCTTCTACTACTAAGATCTACAAAATCTGTAAAAAAATAAATAAATAAAAAATAAAAAAAAAAAACGCACAAGAGTAAAAATATTGAACTTAAAAATTGGAAATTCTACAAAAAACTTTTTTTAAATTTATTAAATTATAAAATAAACTAATTTATACAATTCTAATAAACACTATTTATTTATAAGTTACACATATTTCTGGCATACAATAAATTTGACATCTACTTCTGTATTTAGCAAATATGATATAACAAGAACAAAACAGCAAATATATATATATATATATATATATATATATATATATATATATATATATATATATAAGTATATATATATATATATATATATATAAGGAGTGAAATGAAAATAAGATAACATAATAACAGAAAAGCATCAGATAACCACAGCAAGTAGCTCAATGCAGTAATTCTCTTGGCTGCGCCTCAACAGTCTTCTGGGAGGATCATATGGATTTGTGGCAGTAGATAGAGCTTGAGTAAGTGAATTTGAATTTAGAGTCAGTCTGTCATGAAAATTATTAAAGCGGTCTGTGGCAGTAGCCGTGATGAAAGGAGTGTCAAGGTCAGTGTGTAAAGTAAGGTTTGAAACATAAAAGGACGCTTCTACAATTTTCCGAAGGACTTTTGACTGAAATGACTGAATTATTTTTATATTTGATGTCTTAGCTGTTACCAATAGCTTGATACCACATGTCCAAAGTTGTTTAATGAAGACTTTATAAATAGTTGGTTAATTAGTTACCGATAATTTAGAACGTCTCTCAAGTAGCATAGAATCTTATGAAATAATACTTAAAGACAAGAGTCATGCCTGAGTGTAAATAATAGGATTGACTCTGAGAGCCTATTCATTTTTATCCTCCATCTTTGTTTTATAATTAAATAAATTGTTTTAAATTGGCACTAAACTAATTGTTAGACATATTTTTATTAATTGTAGCATTAGTCTTAGTGAACACCGAGACAGTCTGAATATTCTGCAAGTGTTCTGTTGTATATTGCTATTCCGTTTGTTTTGTTTTTCTGGAGCTGGTTTCATATTCCTCTACATTACAATTATTGTTTTGCAGAGTTCATATAACCATCAAAGCTTTGCGATACGCACGGTGATGAAACGTAGCCTTGTTTTCGAGTAATGTTGAATAATAAAAAGTAGTAGCTAAGACATTCTCCAGAAGCCAGCACGCCTTATTAAGTCAGATGCGGTACCCCACTAGAGGAAAAAAGTGAGAAAGATGACTCGTTATTACGTGTTGAAGATACACAGGTTATTACAATTTCGTGTAAGCTGACCCGCTGACTCCAGTATTAGTTTTTACTGATTGAGCGTGACAGTAAATTTATGTTGCCTTTATAAGGTAATGCACTAAACTGTCGGGATACTAACGTTTTCCAATGGGACCTTGGCAATTGAGATGGCGAGAAGAGGGTCAGAAACAATGTGAGGCCATTTAAAAGAGAACTGCATCGGCTTATCTGTAAACATCTTCATGCATTCTCTCAAGGACGATAAGTTTCCCAACCATACCCTAAGTAGCGGCTCTGTATTTGTTTGGACTATTATAATGATCTATTGATGTTTACTTTATTTTTATGTTTACTTATATTTAAGTAGACTGGAAGGATATGACATAGGATTTTTGATTGGATGATCATTTTATTATATTTTGTAAGTATGTATGCCTTTTTCCTATGATGATTCTTCCAGTTGAGTTTTTATAAATAATAGGGATAAACAGAGTACGTGACATATTCTTTTAATTGCTCTTCTGCATTAATTGAACACAATATACAGTTAGGTATGGTTTAAATAGACAAGGAATGTGAACCCAAATAAACATATACTTTTCTGGTCAACAATGTGGACAGGAAGCTATGAATCATTTCCCTTTAATGGGTACTGCCTAACTTGTTTCAATCATAAAAAAAGGAAGAAATATTTAATTAATACACAGGAAACTGTTCATGTTTTCATAGCCATCTGCATTGTGTATCTTTTTCAATTTTTTTTTTTGCTTATTAGCATGCGATAAGTAAGAGACGAATAAAGGAAATGTATCATAGAATCATAGTTTTTATTACTGTTGGTTACATTTTTTTCAAACAATCTGTGTATCAAAAAATTATTCATACATGAAAAATGAAACGTCAATATAACTATAATAAAACATTTTAATTAAAATTGGAATATTATTACAGAATTTATGGTTACAGTTTGACCGAGGTGTTTTACTGATCTTCTCGACGGGATGTCTCATCTTCAGGCGGTGAGCTAGGGCCAGCGTGTTCAGAAGTGGTGAAGCTCTGCCTGAGGTTGTTGAAGATGTCCGGTATCTCCCGCGCCAGCGAATAGCCGAAGGACTGCAGAGCCGGAGCCGCCAAGACCTGAGTGGCCAAGTTGAGCAGCTGCTGGTTGCCGAGGAGGAGGTTGATGTCGAAGGGGGGCTGCGGCATCGGAGGGGGCCCGTCCCCGTGGCCCGCGGCCTGCTGCTGCGCCCCCCCTCCGCTGGGCTCCTGGCAGGCCTCAGGCTCCGACTCCATGCTGCACAGCTCCTTCACCTTCTCCCTCGCCAGCTCCAGGTTCCCCTTGAAGCCTTCGTTGTCTGGCTCCAGCTCGTGGGCCTTCTTGTAGCACTCGACCGCGTGGACGTACCTCTCGAGGCCGCAGTAGGCCAGCCCCAACCTGCCGTAGGCTTTGCTGTACTTGGGGTCCAGTTCGATGGCCACGTTGCAGTCCCGAACCGCGGCGTAGTGGTCGTTCATCCTGCTCTTGGCCGCCGCTCTGTTGCAGTAGTAGACGGGATTCCTCGAATCGTATTCGATAGCTCTGGTGTACAAGCACAGTGCTTCTGCATATCTTCCGTCACCCATAGCCAAGTTGGCATCCACTTTCAACGCTTCGGCTAGGGATTTCTCCGAAACGGTGGCCTCTCGTCTGTGAAGGTGTGGGTTTTGCAAGTAAAACTTGTACAGCTCTATTAAAGATGGTTCATTGGGACGATGTCTAACACTATTTAGATCATAAATGTTCTCCAAACACTGCATTGCTACTTCTAAGCCTTCTTCATCTTCCGGACCGAACTTACCACCTTCCAAGTCTTGTCTCAACAAGTCTAGGATCGCAGACATTACTCTAATCTTAATATCATCCATTTTATAGAAGATTAATATCATTAAAAAATATTTACATATGTTGCTATTGCAGCATTTGTTTTTATGGAGGTTTTTTTTATTACTGCAAATAATATTATTTCCTTATTTTTATTGTTCTTGTTGTTCAATATAAGATCTTTAAAGACTACATTCTGCATAAGTGCCGATAATAAACACATCCAAAAAAACAACAGGAATATGAAAAGTTATGAAGAAATGAAAACTTTCTTCAAGAAAGCCAAAAAGTATAAAGTATTTGTTGAATTATAGTCATAATATTTTGAAATCCCCAGAGAATGAATATAAAAATATCGAAATCAGACTATTTATGTAATGCCAGGCAATACTGTACAAGTATCACTTAATTTTGATCGGTGGTACAAGATCTCGTGATCACACCATAAATGGAATCTCGAGAATAGTGCAGTATCTCCGAAAGTAGACGGCATTGACCGAATCGTCTGACAATGGCTAAAAAGAACCAGCTGTTAGTTTGTTGAAGACGTGAATCGTGATTTAAATGAAGAGATGTTATACTATGAATCTTTGGCTATTCTCGGAATTCCATTTATAGCATGATCATGACATCTTGGCCCAATCATAAAATTGGAGTGTCACTAGTATAGTGACATATTGCCACCTTCTCCTGCCTCTCGGTAGTACGGACTTTCGGAAAAAAAGTTTAGCATGCCATTTCAAATTCATAATTCTTCGGTCTTCCAATTTGCTGCGCTATATCTTTTTGGAGGATGATACAATGATTAACTCTCTCTAATTATTTCCGACCAGACAGTACGAGTAGTTGTTCTGGTTTACTAACTGAGGAAAATCGTCCTCCGTGATGGAATAAAATTCATTTTCCCTCAGTAGATGGCTCTTATTGGCTCAAACCAGGATCAGGTTAAGAAGACATTGCTCAGCAGTTTTTGGACATGGGGGAGCAGGATTTAAAGATCTCTAAGGCATGTAGTATGGCGTGAATGAATCATCCCTCTTTCCTCCCCCAAGCCCTGTAAGGAATGACACCCAATAATCAGGGAGAACCCATTATTAGGGCCATGCGTGTTTCAACATTCTCTGTTGAAATCGGATCATCATTAGCAAAGATACAACCTATTGGAAGGTTTATGTTTATTATTTTTTAATCGTGATAGACCCAAAAAAATTCCTTTCTTCAAAATTAATTAGCACATTATATAATCATTAAGTCACTCACAAATATGGAGATTATTCGTGCGGGTCTATTAGTTGCGCAAGATCAAAATATCTTGTTATATTTTAAATATAATTGTACAGCCTTATTATGATCACATGATCAAACATGACCAAATCTGTCTGAATAATATTCGATCCGATGTTTTATAATAGTAAACTTCCATTTTGATTAATTATTTTCAATAATGAACCATTGCGATCGACCAACGAATTCAAAATCTAACCTCCCTCACAAAATATGTGGTTTTATATTTAAGGATACGGAGAATTCGAAAATCGAATAAAATTTGTTTTATCCATCCGTCGTCCGCCCATTTTCTCCAGAACGAATAGATGATTTTTTTCTAATTCGGATTTAAAGTGAGAGGTCACCCGAGGATGATCCTCCTACATCGACATTATTATACACCTTTTTTTATAATTATAATTTATAATCACATTTATACAGCTGATCACATTATAAGCACTACCCCGTTTGCCAATGATAAATGTGTCCTATCAGTTAATAATGACCCAACAATTGCATTCCAAACTCTTCAATCACACATCGCAAACCTAGAACAATAGTGGTAAAACTGGAGGATTAAAATAAATTCCAATAAATCACCTCAAATCACCTTTACCCTTCGTCGTAAATCTATGTCCTCCTGTCCTACAATATCCTTTAATAATACCCCACTTATCCCTGTTGTACAAATCCGATACCTTGGACTCCACTTAGACAATCGTCTAACTTGGAATCCTCATTCCAGACTGAAACGACAAGAAACCGCTCGACGTTTCTGACTACTCCAGGACTTACTAGACAAACGCTTTCAACTTCCAATTAATTACAAAAGACTCATATACATGACTATAATAAGGCCTATTTGGACTTATGGAGTTGAGCATTGAGGCTTCAGTAAGCTATCGAATTCCTCTCGTATCTTTACAATCAAAAATCCTTCGTAAAATCCTTGCTGCTCCTTACTTTGTCACAAATAAAATCATCAAATGTTTCTGACCTGGCCCTATCCAGATACCTATCCTTCCATAACAAACTTCAGAACCATCCAAACCCTCTCGTTTCTAACCTTGCTTCCTCTTCGATCCCTGACAACCCTCCGAGGCGTCTGAAAAGAAGATGGCCTCGAGATCTCCTTTTGTAAATACATTTTTAGAGTGCTACCAGTGGGTAGTTTCTCAGCAAGTGGTTTCATGTTATTATATTCTTTTGTTCATATTTACTGAATGTATTTTTATTTGTAATACAATTGTAAATATCATAAATAAAAAAAAAAAAGATCATTAAGATGAGAGAGTAGACGTTATTAAGCAAGTATAACCGAGTTATGTTGCTGTTGAAGTTGCTGATGCAATCCCCTTGGACGGTGCCTGAAGGAGGAAGTACGTGACCACGGGTACTCAGTCCGGGTACCGCTATCCATCCCTTCTGCCCTTTGTGTCTGTTCACGTCCTCGCGAGGAATTTATTAATGAGGGGCTATACTACAATGGAGTTCTTTATTAAGCATGCCCGCATTCTTTATCTGTGTTTAATACAGAAGATGACTTAGTTATTTTAGAGGTAAACATCTCAAGTGTTAAGAGAATGCAGGACAGTCAGTGATCATTCCTTTATAGAATCTCTTAAAGTGATCATCTACTTCAGACCAAAATGAACCGCCTCGACCACTCTGATACAATAAAACTATTAGAGAAATTCTTCAGGATAGTGACGAACGGTTATCTACTATTAAATTTTTGGAGATTATGAATCATTAGAACACAGTCTAAATTTTAGTAAACCCAATAATACTTGAGAGTAAAGTACAGATAAATATTCATTAAAATACACATCTCCAAAATCCTGTAAGCAGGTTACGAACGGATATGAAATTCGCTCCCTCGATGAATCTGTGCATCATTCCAGACACATGCATATTATAGATCTTCAATGTGAAGGAATAATATTAAAATATGTAAGGAACGGATTGTTATAAAGAAGTTCTTTAACTACAAATAACTTTTTTAGTCTTAAAATTACCATATGAAAATTAAAAAAAAAAAAACATATTGTAATTCAGGCAAAGGCGCTCCTAATGATTTCCTATTGACTGCTGTATTGTTCGGAGTGAGACAATCCATTTGTAAATTAGCACTTAAAGAATAACAAAAATACTTTGTTTTATGCAGCCTTGTGAGCTTATGACGTGTCAAGATTATATTAAGTGCGTTAATGCAATACTTACAGCTTGATTAGAATATATTTATCTGTCGGTATCATTTGATTGATCTTAATTCTAAATTAAGTGTACGGTAACCTAAACCTCAGTTTCAGAATTAATTCATAAGTCATGGCTAATAGTAAACCAAATATTATTCTGAGATTAAATGAGAACTGGCAATATTTTTTTTTATTTTCATTTTTCCGCATAGAAATATTAAATTATTGATTAGGCTGGCATGGATTAAACCAAAGCCACAAAGCACACACCTCTTACTTATCAAGTAAGTTTATTCAAATTACGTGCTTCTTAACGAAGTATGTAAACAAAAATAGGATATAATATCATAGAGGATATTAGAGTTTCATACTGCGCTTCGTTCTTAAAGGCATTTATTGTTGAATCCAAGGACGATATTACCGTAGAATATATAGCATTTCCAAGTCAATTTCAACCTTTTCCAAATCAAATTCAACCTTTTCCAAGTCAAATTAAACCTTTTCCATTTCAAATTCAACCTTTTCCAAGTCAAATTCAACCTTTTCCATTTCAAATTCAACTTTAGAATTTTTGTCAATTTTCGATTTTTTTCGAAATGAAGGCCACTTACTATATTATCGACGGCATAGCTTTTAAAAAATACAAAAAAAAATTTGATTACGCAGTTGCATATCCATTTATTTTAACATTTTAGATTTTTTCAGTGTGATATTTCTATGTGATATTCAATTATTTCCAAGTCAAATTCAACCTTTTCCAAGTCAAATTCAACCTTTTCCAGATCAAATCAAACTTTTTCCAAGTCAATTCAACCATTTCCATTTCAAATTAAACCTTTTCCAATTCAAATTCAACCGTTTTCATTTCAAATTAATGTTTTAAGTTTTTGTAAATTTTATATTTTTTTTTTAAATAATGGCCATCCCCTCCCCCCCTCCAATATGAAAGTCTATTATTATGCTCTCCTAAGTAGAATTTTCACTTACGGATATCGATTTATTGTACCTATTCGGATTTCTTAGGGACTAGTATTATGCTGTCCTGTACCTAGTTTTGAAAATAATCTCCATTTTAAGATTACGTGACTGCGTTTCGAATCATTTAAGTTTTTTTGACAAATTCGATATGTGGGTGTATTTTTATGTTTCCCGATCAGTAAATTTTGAAAATGACATCCATTTTATGTTTACGCCACTGTGTTTTGACTTATTTAAGTTTTTAGAATTTATCCAATATAAAGGTCTACTTTTATGTTTCCGGAGCCGTAGATTTTGAAAACGACCTTCATTTTAAGATTAGGCCACCGCGTTTCGACTTATTTGAGTTTTTCGGATATTTTTCATATGAGGGTGTATTTTTATGTTTCCGGAGCTGTAGATTTTGAAAATGACCTCCATTTTAAGATTAGGCCACCGCGTTTCGACTTATTTGAGTTTTTCGGATTTTTTTCATATGAGGATGTATTCTTATGTTTCCGGAGCAGTAGATTTTGAAAACGACCTCCATTTTAAGATTAGGCCACCGCATTTCAATTTCTTTGAGTTTTTCGGATTTTTTTCATATGAGGGTGTATTCTTATGTTTCCGGAGCCGTAGATTTTGAAAACGACCTCCATTTTAAGATTAG